TTCCAGTGTTCGTGCAGCGTTGCAATTTTCGTACGCCTCTCTGGAGTAACGTCCATCGCAGACAATGGCCCTAGGACAACTAATCGACAGTCAAGATAATAGTGTCTGGGCATTATAAAAATATGATGTCACAATATTTTTCAAGGCCAAACAAATTTCATCCTACACCCCGAAAATAGATTCAAATTACTGCACACCACTGCAAAAGACCTAATCTGAGAAAAAAAATAGAAATTGATTACACACCTATTTGCATATATATATATATATATATATATATATATATATGTATGTATGTATGTATGTATTGAGCTTTTCACCCCAAGCAAGGCACTAGCAAGCAAGGGGTAATAGAAAGCGAGAGCAAGAATAAAGAAGCGTGAAAAAGGAAAGGGTGAAGACAAGGACGGGGAATAGATCAAGGCATCAGGAGACGTCGATTGACATTGCATTTGAATAGTAGTAAACTATAGCTATCAGCGAAGCAAGTAAGAGGAAGGGAGTTTCACAGACTGGAAGTGCGGGACATGAAGTTATTGGAGTAGAAGAGACGGCTACATTAACCGTTTTGTCAGTTAAAAGGTGCGACTGAGATGCCAACCTAGTAGCAAGTTTAAATTCATGTAGTTTGGGAACCAGCGAAAATACCTCGTCATGAAAGTATTATTGAAAAGACAGACGTAAGCGACGTCATGTCTGCGAGAGTGCGACTGTAAACAAGATGCCAGATCAGGGTGAATTGCAAGACCAAGCAGTCGCAGAGTGTTGCTCTTGTGGAGTTGGGCATCAGACATTCTAATGGGAGGCATAGAGAGTTCTCTGTGGTGGGTAAAAGAGAGCAGTTTTGTTTTTGAGGCATCTAAATTTAACCAGCCATTTCTTGCCCCAGTCAACAACAGATTGGAGGTCCTTTTCAAGACCGGCGGCCTTGTTAGTTTTATCAGCGATACCGGATTTGCTATTGAGGCATGAATAAATAGTAGAGTCATCTGCATAGATGCCTACTTTGGAACTGATGGCATCGGGAAGATCGTTAATGAAGATCAGGAACAGTGTAGGGTCCAGGATAGAGCCTTGGGCAACACCAGCGTTCGTGAGAGGAAACAAGGGGAGAATCCGTTAAAGACCACCTATATTAGACGGTTTGACGGGAATTATTGTATTAAGTCAGATAATCGTCCTGAAATTCCGTTTCCCTGAAACTTACGAAGAAGGCCGGCATGCTATACCCTACCACACGCTTTAAAGATATCTAGAGCCACCGCACAAGCTTCTCCGTTATTGTGAAGTGCTTGATAAACAGTTTTAATCATGAACTCATCAGCTGTAGATCGGACAAAGCGGAAACTATATTCTTGTCAGACAGCAGGTCATGGGATGAAAGGTGCTTAAATACAGTCGTTGATTAAAGCTTCAAAGACGTTTCCGAAGAGGGTTAGGAGACTGATAGGACTGTAGTTAGATGGGTCAGAAGCGTCTCCAGAGTTCTTAAAGACAGGTACAACAGATGAGGACTTCCTACAGGCTGGAAGCAAGAGTCAGTGAGCTAGTAGTTACGTAGTTTGGAGAGGACAGGAGCCAGTTTAGGAGAACATTGCTTCAGGAGAACGGTTAGTATATATAATCAATTCCTCCATGCACGACGATAATACCACTAAGACGCATGGGGGCTGCTGGTAGTGAAAGAGAATAACAATATTTTAAATACAACAATAAATAGGAAACAAGGGATTCACCTCTACTCCTGTTCAAAAGATTGATGAAAAGTGCATTGTATATTTGAGTAATCCCTTTTTTATATAAGTTCCATTCAAGATTACTGACAAGGCATTGTGATTAAGCTTTTTATTAATTATATTTATCATTCATACAAGTATTTTCTTTTTCTGGATACAGAGTGTATAAAAACTGCACACATGATAGAAGGTGCGATTGGTAAATTTTCGCCATTTTATATTTTTGTTTTTACGCATGCTCCTTGTATGGTTTCATTTTGTCGACTGCAGAGTATAGTAGGGTCCGTCTGTGGGAAAAAGAGCAACATGACGCCATTCACTCCGTCAGAAATTTGGAATAGACATGCTGTACTGCTTGGCATTTGCGCCGGAAGGTCCAATACGAACATTTCAGTGTGTCTGCGTGTCAATCTGATGACAGTGTAGAGGATTCGGAAAGAGTTGGATGAGTCTAATGGTGATTACGAATGTGTTTGGAGTGATCACTAGCGATGGTGAAGTTATGCTTTCATTCATCTTCCTACAGAGCCTCAGATTCATCACAGAGGACTACATCAAGTGCCTTGAGGAGGTAGTGCTACCCGGAGTAAAGAGGATGGCTGCTGGAAGACACTATGTCTGGCAACAGGACTCTGCGCCGTGCAACACAAGCAGGAGAACCCAGTCATGTCTGTCAGACAATTTCAGCGACAACATCACCTCTTACATCTGGCTACCTATCTCCCCAGACTGCAACCCCTTTTGATTATTACGTGTGGAGCGCAGTTGAGCGAGGAGACCAACAAAACTCCTTGTAACAACAATGCTGAACGGAAGGCATGAATTATTGCAGCATTCATCAACTTAAACAAGGAGACCGTTCAGAAGAGGTGCAAGAGATCCCCAAGTCGTCTGGAAGCCGTGGTTGAAGCCAATGGCGATTTTATTGAATATATTTACTCAAGATATTTTTGTGTAATTTTGGTAAACATATCTGTAAAAATGGGTGTTATTTATATTTTATTATTATATTAGATCAGTGTTATTTTCATTTCTGCGGCATTTGGACGACAATTTATCCATCGCACCCTGTATGTGAATCCGAGCGCATACGTCTAATCTATTATCAAGGATGTTTTAAATACTAAAACGTAGATTTTTTTAATATATGAATGTATAATACAGGGAATAGTTTTTCTTGATTTTTTTGTTTGTTGGTTTTTTCCGAACACTGTCACCTCGTTTTGGCCGTATTCATAGTTGATATAATTGAGAATCGGATTCTTTTTTTATTATTAATAAAATTGTCATTCTTCTTTTGTACCCTCATTATTAAATATATATATATATATATATATATATATATATATATATATATATATATATATATATATATTATAAATTAATTGATTTAAGATATGTTCTTTTCGCTACACAGTTCTAACCATGTTTCAAAAAATGGAAGCTAAAAGCTCCGAATTTAATTTTGTAATTAAATTAAATTTTGAAATTCGCTTGAAGATGAAACGGAACTAATGTCTTTAATTTAATTACAAAATTAAATTCGAACCTTTTTAGCTTCCATTTTTTGAAACATGGTTAGAAATGTGTAGCGAAAAAAACATATTTTAAATCAATTAATTTATAATATTAATCGTTCTGTAAATTTACATTGAACACTATTTTGTAAAAAATAAAATATCTATAAGAACACCGGATTATATATCTTACTGTTCTTTCTTTATATATATATATATATATATATATATATATATATATATATATATATATATATATATATATATATATATAATAAAGAGCGAGAGAGAGAGAGAAAGAGCCATGTACTGTGAAAGAATATTGTAAATAAAAAGCCTCATGTTATTACTTTTAGTAAAAAAACTATACAATGCGTATCAAGTCGACAATGCCATTCGCACATGATCGTAACAACTCACTCGGCAACTAATTCAAATGCACACAGATCCAGCAAATGCCATTTAATTGTCAGCCTTTATAAATAATTTAATAATCCCACTCACATACACACGTACACTCACACCATTGTTAGAGCGTTTAATTCAGACGGGAATTAACAGCGTTGTACAAAAAACACTTATCTTGCATCTCCAAGGGATACACGTTGCATTTGTTATTTGTCCTTCAAATTATACAGGAAATAGCTGATAATTTTTCTTTTATATTTATTTAAATATTTATTTGCTCAGAATTCTTATCTATCTTTTGGACTTTAAGTGAAATAACAAGGATACAATATGGAGGCCAGCAAATGCAAAAGTTCAAGGTAGGTAAAAAATCGGTTCATTTATCGCTGTGTTTTCCATTTGTTCTGTCATCCTAGTCACCTTAAATTAAACTGTGATTCACTTAGTCGAACACAACTGCGAGTAAAAATAAAAAAAAGGCAGGTGGAAAATTGATTTACCGCCACTTTTCAATTATGTACGTGCTGCCCTAAATATGAGCATTCCAAATTTGATAACTTCTACTTGGGCGATAGCATCTAAAGCCGGTTGTAAATATACAATTATTTCAAATTTAAATTTCGATGACATGATATTTACAAAATATATGACTCAAGATCATGTAGCGTCAATACTTCAAGTGATGGCCTGATCATTTTTATAATTCCTAGCTTGTAGTTTGTTATGATCATGATTATGACACTCGCGTAAAAAAAAAAATATATATATATATATATATAAATATATATATATATATATATATATATATATATATATATATATATATATATATATATATATATATATATATATATATAGATAAAAAGTATGCATGAAAGAAAATTATATCCCAGTGCCTTGGTAGTCATCTACAATGAAAACAAACACACACACACACATATATATATAGGTTTACATGTGTTTGTGTGTGTATGTGTGTGTGTGGCTTGGTTTGGTTTATTTTGTTTTACGGCATATCAACCTCAATGGGTTATTTATTGCCGACAACATTTTTTATTGTTGATAATATTTTGTTTCGTCAAAAATCTATTTTTGTTAATAATTTTCCTTCAAAATTACATTACTGGTAATAATTATTTTCAAAAAAGTATTGTTGGTAATAGTTAACTATTTGCTCATAGCTGGGACCTTAACAGGTGCTACCACCCCAGGTCAGGTTGGACCTGGGAACATCAGCAATTAAGAGGTAGTTCCACGCTACTCAAAACCTTTTGATCAGAGCCCTTGATGCTGGGGGTAGTTTATCATCTTGCCCATTACGCGTATGTAGTTTAACGTCTTATCCATGATGGGTGTGTGCGTGTGGATAGATAGATAGATAGATAGATAGATAGATAGATAGATAGATAGATAAAAAAAAAAATACAGACGGAAAGAGGCAGGCGTAGCGGAGTAGATGAGGTATAATGTTTATATCAAGATATTTCGGGGAAGTGTTGTTAGCATTCGTACAGATCTTATGTAACTCATTCAATATAGATAGACATCTGCAATGAATTAAATTTAGTAAACGTGTGCATATCCTAATCAATTCATACTGCAACAATGTACCGTTATGTATATTCAAATATATACACATAAAGATTGTGTACATATATACATATTTTTGTTTACCTATTTACACACACGCGCACATACAGTCCATCTATCTATCTATCGATCTATCTATCTATCTCTCTATCTATCTATCTATCTATCTATCTATCTATCTATCTATCTATCTATATATATATATATATATAAAATATATATATAGATATATATATATATAGTTGCATTGATGTGAGTTTGTGACCCTGGCTTTCACGGTGTTTGCGATCGTCAGCGTGAAATCCAGGGCCACAAACGCACATCAATCGAACTAAATATGTTAGCTCTATCACTGATATTGAACATCTTCCAAGAATATATATATAAGAAATTTCATATATATATATATATATATATATACATTTCATATATATATATGTATATATATACATACACATTAAACATATATATATATATATATATATATATATATATATATATATATATATGAAGACTATATATATATATATATATATATATATATATATATATATATATATATTATAAAACATTTTAATTGAATTCGACAGATTTTTCAGGAACTTGATTTGATAAAGTTTCTATAAATTTTATTTCAAAGGGCGACTATTTTTACACAAATCGAGAAAATGTAATAAAATGTTAAACAGACACAACACGAATTCAATAAAACACGTTTGAATTAATTATCCCTACAAAATAAACGACACACACACGCACGCACGCACACACATACACACGCACACACACATGGTTTCATTACTAATTTCGTACGAATAGGCAATGAAGTAAATTAGTTCGAGTGTATTTTAATCGTCGGGGATCATGGTATTTTTTTTTTCTATTGTCCTTGTCTTACCGGCTTTATTTTCGCCTCACTATGTTCTTATATATTTCTGTATGTCTATCTGATAATCTTTACATAAATACGCTATAGATAATCTCTGTTCATTAGCTTTTTATTGATCTATTTTGCCTGTCTTTTTGAATCTTTCTTTTTCTCTGTTTCACTCTGTTCATATCTCTTATATTCTGTAATCAAGGTTTTCTTTTCTAACTCTTATTCATAAAGCTGTCTTCCTTATTTCGCGAACATCTGCCACAAACGTTTTTTAGTTCAATTGGATTTATTCGAGAAAAAATATTTCTTTTGTTTCATAATTTCCGACAATCTGGTCTCTGAAACCGTCTTCAGGTGTAATTTTTCATATTATTAAAAATAATTAATTTTCTTCATGTTTCAATGTGGAATATTCTCGATCGAGACATTCTGTTTGTGTGAACGATTTTTCTTTGAAGAAAAATTTATTATTTTTAATAAATGTCTTCACGTTCGTGAAATTTAAAACAAAGCGAAAATCCACAAAAACGTTTTGGCACCCCTTCTTTTTTAATATACATATATATATATATATATATATATATATATATATATATATATATATATATATATTACTTCAATCGTTATTATATTGTAACAGACGCTGCGTTTTCATTTAAAACAGTTTCCACGCCGATAGTCTGATTGCACATTGCTGAAAATTAAAATCTGTCTTCTATTTCATATATATATATATATATATATATATATATATATATATAAGGTAACTCTACTCGTTTTGAAAAACCCTCGAATTTTTGATTTGCCAATAATCAAATCAATCCCGAGGGAAAAAAGGTTTTAAAAAAAGAAAGAGCTAGAAATATGAAAGTCTGTCGAAAAAAAATCGCACAGATACGGGTTTGAAGCCCGAAGAAAAAACCCCGATACGAGTAAACAACTAACTAACAAAAGAGTTCAATAAATAAATAAATTGAATAAATATTTAACCCCACCCCTCGGTGTTGTTGTGTTTTTCTTGTTTTTCTTTTTCTTCGGTCACATGATATGATTTTGATTATCGCCTATAAATATGCTGTTTCTCTTGTCTCTTTAGCCAGCTTTCCTGACGATCCCTTAGGTGAAACCTGGGTAGGTTTGTCTGGCTCACTAGGTTTATATATATATATATATATATATATATATATATATATATATATATATATATATATATATATATATATATATATATAGTCAAACTTAGAGAGCCAGACACACCTACCAAGGTTTCACCTAATCAGCTTCAACTTTCCCCTGACGATCCGCTTAGGTGAAACCTTGGTAGATTTCTCTGGCTCTCTAGGTATGACTAGGTCTGCTCTACTTTTGTATTGAGCATATTTTAAGTTAGTTGATTACTCGTATCGGTTTTTTTTTTCTTTGGGCTTTGGACCTGTATGCTGTACGATTATTTTCGACAGACGTTCATGTTCCTAGCTGTTTCTTTTTTTAAAACCTTTTTTTCCTTCGAGATTGATTTGACCATTGGCAAATCAAGAAACCGAAGGTTTTCCGAGACGAGTGTAGTTACCTATATATATATATATATATAGATATATATAGATATATATATTCGACTCTCCCGACGAATTCGACGTAGGATGGTCAAGCAGATTAGTTCCTAGGAAACCGACAGCCCGACAACAACACATGAGATTTGATTATGGAGGTGAAGGTTTCGTGCAGAACTATCCCCACTTTTTGAAGGGCTGAATACAGAGACCTGGTGCACTACGTGCCACAAGGTCCCCAAACGAGTCTCCGCAGGTTTTGAATTCAGAGTTGTCCTTCTCCTAGACCAATTGCCATCCAAGGCTATAGAACCCAGTCTGCCCTGCTATTTTACCCATAGCTGGAGGGAGAAGAAGAGGATTCACACTTTTCCCAAGGGTATTAGCACATAAGTGAATGTAATGGATTCGACTGGAATTCGACTCTCCGATTCCTTAATCTAAGCTGCTATCCATTACTCCACCATGCCTCCTATATATATATATATATATATATATAAAGGGTGATCCCAAAAATCGGGAATTTTTGAAATGCGTATTGTTAGACATGAGCAAGTGGCAACACTGCGAGATAGTGTCCTTGAGCAAGTAAACATTTCGCCATTTAGAATTCAAGATGAAATTCACAGTATCCCAGTGAGAAGTTGCAGCAGTCAATGAGGAATCTCAACAGCAGATTTCAAGAATGCATTCGTACAGGAGGACGCCATCTACAGGACGTAAGTTTTAAAAAGAAAATTCCCTCATTGGTTCTTAAATGGCATGTTTTAAGGTTTCAATTACTATGAATAAAATATTTTTCTTCCATCACTCTTGGTTTTATTGGATTGTTAAATACTTCCCGTTTTTGGGGTCTTTTTATATATATATATATATATATATATATATATATATTTTATGGTTCACCCTATATATACATTTAGAAGCTACAAGACATTTATATAGACAGGAGATGACGGCTAACCTTGATCAGGTGAAGATTGTAGTGATCACGGAAACATCCTCTCGGGGGTCGGTTCCACTGAGCGGTGGTTCATGGGAAGGAGCTGTTCCAATAGAACGTACTTCACACCACTGGAATACGGGGGGGGGGTAAGTGGCATGCCGGGTCCTCGCCGTAAAGGTTAGTCCTGGCGTAATCAAGCATTTCCCACAGAAGAAGCGTTCGTGCACTTTCATGGAAGAAGCGATAGAGCAATGAGAGGCATGCCACATTCCACCTGTGTGTGAGAGAGAGAGAGAGAGAGAGAGAAAGAGAGAGAGATCAGAGGGTGGAAAATATTTCGTCATGGTCCAAGATGTAAGCGTTAGGGTCGGGGACGCCTGTGTTGATCGTAGGCTTGGCCATTATTAACTACCTTCAGGAAGTCAGGAAAGACTTTATCCATTGAGAAGGCACTTCCAGTGATTCCATAGCTGGAGATGCTGAGCAGCAAACATTTGTGCCACACCTTGTCTATGGCCTTCGGAATATCGAACAATATATTCCTCGAGCTGTGTTTCTATATGAGGTAATAAAAATGTCGGATTAAATGTAAATCCATTAACTGTTTATTTTTAATTCGTCATTTATACCTCCCTCTCCCTCAATCTATATCAGTCTCTGTCTCTCACACACTCTCTCTCTCTTTTATATATATATATATATATATATATATATATATATATATATATATATATATATATATATATAAAGGTTAATAGTCAAAAGTTGAATCAGACCGGGGTAGTATTAATTAATACACGTGAGAAAAAAATATAAGTAAAAATAAAAATAACATGTAGAGCTTTTAAAAGTTTAATTGACCTCCTGATTTTAAACACACACACACACACACACATATATATATATATATATATATATATATATATATATATTTAAGTTCGAAAGAAGTAATCGAACTTAAAACTATATATATATATATATATATATATATATATATATATATATATATAATCAGTTCACCCCCTATCAAGGCGACAATGGCACTAAGATGAAAAAAATTTACTGGGAGAAAAAGAAAAAGAAGACTTCGGTGGGGAGATATGACAATAAAAGAACAGGTTTCAGAGCGACATAAGATGGCGATAGACATTGCAATTAGATTTTTAAATTATTAACATTTGTAGAGAAGAGCAATAATATATATATATATATATATATATATATATATATATATATATATATATATATATATATTTGAACATCTAGTTCCAGATCAAATATCTCTTCATTTTCAATTACCTTTATCTACACATAGTCAAAAATGAACGTTGCACTGGGAAATGACCATTGTTTATGACATTCTTCTTCTTACTATGATTCAACAAATTAATAAATAGATGTTTCTATTTAGCTGAAGAAAACGGACAAGGGTTAAAATTTCATAACACTTACGACACTGTAATTTTTTCTTATTTAAATTCTACAGTAAATAGTAATAATTACCTGTCCAGAACAATATCTTCTTCATTTATGTCTATGGTGCATTCATGATGACGGTGATCATGGTTCTCCACGTTTTCC